TCTTTAATCTTTGCAAGTTGCAAGAATATAAAATGTTTGGTTACAACCGAACTTAACCTTTCCATACCTGTTTTAGAATAAACCTCTAAAACTATGTATATAAAAAATTTATGTAGTTGAGTTTTGTTTTTGAACGGCATCTTCATAATAAATACTTCAGGAAAGTAAGTAATATTTAAAATTTAAAAATATATAAATGTAAACATTTTGCAAAATTTTATAAGTTTTAAGTTTTTTTCTTATAAATTTATATTTTTTCTGTATTTTTTCAATATTTTTTAATATACATACATATGTATATTTTTATAATGTTTGAAAAAGTTCGAATTTCCTTGCAAATATCAAAGAGGTGAATTTCCAAATAATTTTGTCTAAATGTTCAATGAGGCTTGAAAGAAAACGACACATTTTCAAAATTTTTTTAATCAACAAATTTATTATTTACAGAACACACATACGAAGGTCACTTTTACGCTTTGAATATTTTTGCAAATAAATGTCGTTAACGTTAATTCTTTGATTTGTTGTTCCAAAAATGTTGAGAGCAACCCACGTCTGTAGAATTAAATTGCGTTGCGTCAGCACGATATTATATTATACTAAACTAATCTTCATAATACTTACTAAATGTATATGTAGTTTGGGTTATTTAATTATATGACTAATAAATTATGCTGATCATCCGGTCATAAATACGCACGCATTCATGTACCAGATTGTTTTTGTCAAAAATGCCAACGCATTTTTCCACAATGAAGAAATTAAGCGCGAAAAAGATTTCGATTTAATAATAAACATTGGTATTTACACAACAACTTATACAGAAATATACTATACTTATGCGTGCGAAATTTTTTCTTCTTTTACTTTCTTCCGCTTATATTAAATACAAATGATTAAGTGAAATACATATATTTATTTTATTATGTCCAGTAGTTGATAAATTGGAATATATATATATATGTATATACCTATGACATATCTTTTAACAAGGGAAAGCCTCGGTCGTGCGATTTGACGCCGTTAGACTAATTCCGATGCGGCTACGTCAAGTCTATAATCTATGGCTACAAGCCAGTGACAATTAATGAACTTCGCACGAATAAACAATTTCATTGATACCAAAACCGCTTTTTTTGTTTTAAACGCTTTTGTAGTACTGAAAACCCCATTATATACGAATTTTAAAGTCCAATCGACGATCATGCGTTCGACTAGTCGCCATCAAACGAATCCAAAGCCTTGCGCAAACTTCAAGTAGCAAAGTATGTAATTTAACTAGATCATCAATTTTTCTATTCTATAGTGTTAATTGAATTGTTTGAAGATTGTGGTCTCATAAAATTGTTTGCATAAAAAATAATAATCCATGCCAAATTTCGTAAATATATATAGTCGAAGAAAAAGGTTTTTCATACAAAGATTGAATTTTAAACGATCAATTCGTTAGGAAGGCTACATTATATATTAGTCCGATCTGCAAAATTTGCTCCTGAACAATAACCCAAGCTATAGTGTTCCGATATTGGCGGTTCTCATAAAAAAGTCGCTTCTTGGGGTGAAAAGGCGTATTCAAAATTCAGATCGATATCTCAAAAATCTTCTAAAAAAGATTGTATGTCATAAAATCATAATATTTAGGGATTACTGATATTAGGAAGCTACGCATAGAAGCCATCAAACCCGAAACAGAAAAGCCGGCTTCAAACTAGTCGTCAAACATTAAGTTGGATACCAAGATAAATTGCCATCAGTTGTACAATATTCTCCCGATTAAGTCATTACTATATCGCTAAGTGGTGTTAATAATGGCATTTAGGTAGACTTCCGTTGAAAATATAGCCCGTCAATTTAGTACACCTACTTGTTACAAATTTATTAAAACACAAACTAAAAGCAGCGGAAAAAATTGCGTTCAAAAGCACAAACAACGAAATATAAATGTAAATTAGGTTGAATCTTAGTTGGTAATTATGTATTAAACCTGAAATTTCTAAATTAACATGTCTGCGCTTAAGTTACTTGTTTACAAGCAGTACTCTGTCTTCCGTGTAAATATCTATATATGTAAATACATATATACCAATATTATAGTATGTGCCTCAAGCTACGCCACATTCACTACCTCAATATTGAATTTAGTGAGTTTCATTTGAAAAACAAAAGTTTATATGTAAGAAATATGTAACATATGTAGTACACTTTTACTCAAATTCAGTAATGAACGAAGCATTTTTATATTGCATACATACTTGCACAGAAAACAATATGATTTTTACGACTCATTTTATTATACATATGTACAACTACGACATTTATCAACTGGTTTTACAACCATGACGATTAAGAATTAAAATTACGTATGCTATACTATATATGGGCATATAGTCTACTATTCTTTTATTTGGGTCTACATAATAAGAAATACATTATTTGTGCATTAAACTGAAGCAATATGAACCATTTTATTTGATAAATTTGTATCAATTTGCAGGTAAATTCAAAGTGAGGCTTTCGTAGAGCACCCATCCTATTGACAAAACAACTGAAATAGTCGATTTTCTCAAGCTTCTCTTAATGCGATTTTAACACCAGTAAAATTATTCGGCATGATCGAAAACAGGTAGTAATCAAAATGGGCGAGGTCTGGACTTTAACGCGGATGCAAAAGAACGTCTCAACTAAGCTCCCGAAGCTTCTGGCGAGTCACTATCGATGCGTGCGGCCCGGTAAATGTTCTCATGGAACACACTGTCTGTCCTATTGATCAAACTTAGCCATTTTTGGACGATTTTTTCTTTAGAGCGGTAAAATTAGCAGCAATACAAGGCCGAATTAAGAGTTTGGCGGTAGGGGAGCAGCTATATGATTATCCGCCAATCCTACCAAACACATAGTAAAAGCTACCGCTACCATCTACCTTGGTTTGGCCAACGTTTGCGCAGCTCATCCAGTTTTTTGGTCCAAAATCTTGTCTTTCTAAGCTCTTTCTTACGTGATAAGGACAAAAATTACTAAAACAATTTATTGGAAAACTAATAATTTTGTTTTTACTAGATTAGATATACATAGATATGTGCTATATTAAATATGTACAGCTACCTATGAAATTTCCGCTTCCCCTTCCGTTAATGTGAAGTTCTTTAGAAGAATTTTTTACAACCAACTTTATAAATCATATATATTTACATATATATACATATAACGGTATTTTTACACATACATATATACGTACTTTTGTATACTGTAAACTGTACTCATATATCTGGAAATATTTCTTAATTTATGTGCCAAGTTCAAACCTCTGTCGAGCACATTTGGTCAAGTTTAATGAGTGGATTAGTGTCAAGATGATCGTAAAAAAAAAATTATGTCTGTTGAATGCCGATTTGCACATATTTAAATAATTATACTTATTTGTTTCTATATATAAAATAGTAGTTAACTTACATATATCAAGCTCTGCAGCGACATTTTATATATATGAGGAAATAATCTAGAAATCTAGCGGATTGTTCTTTTTACACAGGCTATATTTTGTACGCTTTTAATTAGGATCTCGACGTAAAATGCGATAAGTCGTTTCATACGTCAGTCCGAGTTAATGCGAACGGCACCGAATCGATTCTTCATGGTCTTCGTGTACGCCCGCAGCTACGGTTGATATATTTTCTTCATTGCGTGCTGGACGTGATCTATTCGGTCGAAAATTATCCAATAATGAATGCTGGATCTCAAACTAGGTAATGGTGTTACGATTAATATGCTCAGTAGGCCTATTATGTTGACCATAAGTTGAACGAAGCGCGCGAAACACGTTTTTTACAGAATCTGAATTTTTGAAATAAATTTGAACAATTTGTAAACGATGTTCAGGCGTAAGCCTTCCCATGATGACAAACAAAAATATCATGACACATTGACTCGACTCACGCGTGATCTCTCAGGCTATTGAAACAAGTAGCTCTACTTGAATCACCCGTTACATATGAAAGTATATGTACATGTAGTCGTAATCTAAACCGCTTGATCCGCCATAATCCTACTATACTTCTACATCTGTCATTAAACCTGTCACAAGAGATGTCAGTTTCTGTGTACCATTTTCCCCTGATAAGATACCAAACGGAAAGCTTGTTGTGACCTTAAACATGACTTCAACAGTTTAATTTTGCCGCCAACTCACGTTACAAGGAAATATTAAATATATTTGTTTTAAATAGGAAATCGACAGGCATGTACTAACTGTGAATTTTAGCATTCAAGAAAGCTGCATTTGTCGTTTATTTTATTTTTGGATTATAATCAATTTCGAACTTCTCCAACTTGATCAATTACATATGAAGAAGAGAGCTTGGCATGTTTGGTCGAGTTTTCGAGAGCACCGCCAATTTTCCGGACGGTATAGAGATTTGTATTTATACGAACACTGTCAGATCAATCAGATTTGGGAAGAATCACCCCGAATCGTTTCAAAATAAAAAAAAAAATTTGGAAGAAGCAAGCAGTAGAACAAAGTCGCTACGGTAGAATCTTTGAAAATAGCTTAGAACTAATAACGGCATCGACATGTCGACTTTTCTTATGAAATACAGCTGAATATTTGGGGCATAAATGAGGAAAACGACATGTGAGGCTTATTCCGAGGTATTCGGGAGATTAAGCGAAAGGATCTTGATAAGTTTTCTAAAATAAATATACATACATATGTATATAACTTATAATTCATTAGCAACGAAGGAAAATTTCGCCGGATCTGCAAAAACGATATGTATAAATTTTTACTAGAACCTACATACAAACATACTATAGCTTAAGTCGGCTTAATCTATTTGAACAGTTTACCACAGAAATAATAAAAATTTGCATTTACAATACAGTTTTAATAATAAATGACATACTTAATACTCCATAAAAATATTATATAATACTTACATATGTATATAAGAAATGGCTTGATAATTGTATTGTTTTTATTTTGTTTAAAAATAAATACTCACAGTTTTTACTCCAAATTAAATTTGCTACTAATGAAGTTCATTTAATTGACAATTACTTTTTTGCTACTTGCCACATATTTAGTAAAGTGCACAATTTATTGGCTTTCAAAATAATTAGCTAGTAAACAATTATAAAAACACTTTTCAGGCATTCAAAAATGTGTGTAAATATGTATATATGTACGTACATAATTTTTTTCACAAATTCTTCGCAGTTATTCCAGTCTTTGTTACTGTTCATTTTGCTGCGCAGTTAAATTTAAGCATTAAATATACATATGTATGTAAATTATTTGGCTCCTATGGCAACTTTTAATTATATTTTTTTATTTTTTAGACTACAATGCTTCATTGCTTTCGTGCTTCAAACGATAAACAATGTCTTTCTAATTATTTTTTGTGAAATAAATATGAATATTAAAGAGAAGTAAGGAAACAAACTCAGGCGCGAGCGAGCCTTAGATACGCTTGCAATGTTCTAATATCTAAAAGGTCTTGAAACATTTGAAAATTGTCGCTTTTGTTGACCGTTATATACAACATATGGTAAAGACAATTAGAAGCACGAAAATCAAGCGATTGGACATATGGGAAATAAACATATCTCCGCTGCAAATCAGTTCGCCTCGTCATTGTAAAAAAAATTCGTAAACATAACTCTATATATAATATATAACGATTAGTTTTGGCTTTAACAAACTACCGTTATTATATCTTCTGAAACATATTATGATAAGTAAAAATATGTATGCCTTTATGACCGATTTTGAGTTTCCTTGCTTTTTGTTTCCTGCCATGTCGTTGGCTTCTCACCTTTTTTGTTTTAACTACTTTCTAATGCTAGGTTTTTGCGAAGCAGAATGCTAAGCACTTGAGAGAAGTGAAAATCAAAGTTATACGCGAATCAGATGCGAACCCACTCTTAAATTTTTGTATTGTTTTGTGAAAATGTGTTTCGTTTTCTTTTGGCTTCCTAAAAAGAATATTATGTTATTAGGTTATTATACCCTGAACAGTGTATATTAATTTTGCCACGAAATTTATAACAACCAAAAAACACGTCGGAAACCCCCTAAAATATATCCGTATGTATTTATGTTTATAAATGATCAACTTGACGAGGTGAGTCGATCTAGCCATGGGCGTCGTCTGTCGGTCTGTATATACCCTCATTTTTGGAAATATCGATCTGAAAATTTTCGCAAGTCCTTTTCTCCTTAAAAAGCTGCTCATTTGTCGGAATCGTCAATATACAACTACTATAGAATATATCTGTCATACAAAGTTGCAAATCAAAATCAAATTCTGCTATAGAAAACTGTTTTTATTTGGCAAGATTTTTTTACTAAATTTAGCATAGAATATTGTTCAAAGCAATCTTCGAACAAATTGTTCAGATCGGTTCACAATAGCATATAGCTGTCATACAGACTGATCGATCAAAATCAAGATAGCCAAAGGCACGTTAACGTTCTTTCTTGTTTTCTATTATATTATTTTTTTTATTTTATTACAATTATTCTGATTTTTCTTGTTGATACAGGTCCAAGAAAGTACCTAACACCAATTCTTAAGAAATTTTAGCCGAACTCTTCTTATTTATATCGTTTATATGAAATACTACTATGAGCATTTTTCATAATTTTAAAATTTTCAACTTATTCTTCAAAATATATGTCGTCCCTCTTAAAGTAATCCCGTAAATGATCAAAGTTTAATCTCTTCAACTGAATTAAAAGGCGAATACGTTGATTGCGGCACGATATTGTTGGAAAATTTGGCGAAAAACTCACGAATAATCATTGCAGTATACGACGATGCCTCTTTAGGAAAAGCTTTGCGCAAAAGACGTATAACACTCAAACAGTATTCCCTGTTACCAGTTTGACCGGTCGGAAGGAATTCGGAGTGCACCACGCCTCGATAATCGCAGAGAGCTGTCAACATAACCTTAAATTTTGACCTGTTTTCCGGTTCGGTTCACCTTTGCCATAATATTCGGATATATTATTGACCGATAGTGTTTTCAAAATAGTTTTCACTGATCCTTGAGATATTCAAACGAAATAAGAAAGATCTCTCACTGTTAATCGTCGATTCTCAAGCACCCATTCCTTTGTTTTATTGAAGAGTTGATCATCAGTTGATGTTGATGGCCATCCTGGACGTGGTTCGTCGTCAACGTAGGTCTTTTCCACTATTGTGAACGTTTCGGCACCAAAAATTTTATTCCGCACACAAAATTTAATGGAACTTCCTTGTTGAATAATTTCACTAATCGTAAAAATCGCCAAATGGACTTTATGAACTTCACAAAGACAAACTTATACTAAACACTAATGACATATGATGTGACATTTTGGCGCAGATCTTACTATTTTTTGCCCACAGTAATATTTTAGTTTTGTAATCTTTTTCTATGCTAAAAATTACATTAAGTTAACTACTATTTAAAGCAATCTGGCAGCACAAAGCACACATTTTCTGCAATTTCATTAGCACAGAAATAATTTACATTAACACTATAAAAGGCTTCTTGAAAATTAATTACTTCTCTCTTTCTCACATATATTTTATTTATTTATCAAAAGCTTGCCATAAAAAGAATTATTATTATTTTAAGTTCTATTCATATTCTGAGCTTCTTGTACATATGTATACTTATTCTTTAGTGTTTCGCAATTTTTACTATTTTGTTGTGATCCGCTGTTTCTGTTTATTGTGCACATGTAGAACATACAAACATATAAAAAAATCGTCATTGCTTTAACACTATAAGCACTACAAGTAATTTAGGCGGTATAAACCAGCAGTCAAACTGATAACACAACAAAGTGTACACAAAGTACGAGCATTTGTTTGTGCATATGTATGTTTGTATGTCTGAATTTATTTTTACTACGCGTCTAATGAATGAGGCATATGAGCACTTGTTAATTTAGTTAATTACTGATATTAGTAAATAATTATATTGGCTACCACAGTATTGGCAACAAAAGCACGAAAATATTTGTTGTTTCTCTTGTACATTTTATTTTTAAATTTTTCTTTTTATTTGTGTTGATAACAAAGTTTCACGGCACTAGGCGACTCGAGTTCACACATACATACAAACATCTGTACGTATTGTGACAACTTGAACCCACGTCGGCGGTCGCAACTAAACATCACAAAAACAAAGCCATGTACATATTTTTTTTTTTTTTACTAAATTATTATTACTCATATTAATTACTAAAAATTTTCAATTTATTTAGATATATTAATAATAATTATTTTTGTTTAATGTCGAAAAATTCTCACTAATTTAAGTGCGTTCATACTTTGTATGTAGACACATATGGTATGTTATTTATGTGCACAAAACCGAATTGTCAAATGAAAATAATAAAATTATTTTACGCGAATTTATTTAGTAAACTAAAAGACAGCAAGCAATTTTGAGAGCAGCACCGACGCATCACATCCGGCGTATATCAAAAGACTAAAATTTAAATTTAAGCATTTAAGCGCGTACGCTGCTGGCGCGCACTCATTCGTAGTGACGAACATGCCTATTATGCTATTGCGCTGATGCCTCCTCTTACTCGTGTGTATGCACGCGCAAAGCTTGGGCTCCACTTGCCGGGAGTACGCTAGTATATTTATATACGAATGTATGTGTGTAACGTCCAGTGTGAGAAAGTGTGTGTGTGAGTAGGTGTACGGCGCACCGGCAGTTACTCTCAGCGTTCTTTTCGACCACTGTCATTGTGCCAAACATTGTTGCTAATCAAAACCATAACAAAAATGCGTAAATATGTATAAATTAATATTTTTGCCAAATTTTGGCAAAACAAAAATACATAATACTTTTTTTTGATGCATATGGGGGCTAATAAATTATGAAATGTTAACAATTTATTAGCGTTGATAGTTCCATATATTTAAGAATTTTCGGAATTTAGAAAATTTTCTAGTATATGTACATATATAAATAGTTATATACATACTTATGTACAATAAATAGTTACGTATGAACATACAATAGACAATTTAAAAATGGTACCGGAATTCGGTACATATTAGAGTTTTGATAAAAATATCCATCCGAGCTTCAATATATATATACACATACATACATACATATGTATATACAAAAACAAAATGACTAGAGTGGTACCAAAATCCCCTAAAAGTGCTTCTAACCGATATTTGATACATATTGCATATAGCATAGATGAAGAACTCCATTCAATATGAATTGGTATTCAGCATGTTTCCTACATTTCCTCACGGATCTTGAAATTTCCGACAGATCTCATTGAAATTATGTAATATTCAATCAAGTCTGGGTAAATGAGAACAATGCATACAAATGACAATATGCTATAATGATTCGATCTGAACAATTTCTTCAGAGATAGTAGCTAATAAAACAGTTTAAGTGCTGTGAAGTCAATGTGATGTCTTGGTGCAACACTTGGGCTCAATATGCTAAAGATACTAATTTTATTGGATTTCTGAGTAGGTTTTTCTGGTTGACTCTCAGCAAACCTTGGGGAATCAGCGTGGCTAAACAGCTTTTGATTATTGGTCGAAACGGAGATCGAATCCAAGATAGTTACCCTTTTAATATCAGGAAAATCATTAAGATGATTTAAGTGTTCATACAAAATATATAGAAAGATTCGCCATCGTAGCGATCTGTCAACCAGTTTGTTTATAGCAGCTACTTAAGTCGGAATAAAAATAACAAACTAAGTATTTGTCTCAAATTTGAAATTTGTTACCAAATTTAATGTATGTAATCATTGCGAATGTTGAAAAAGGCTTATAGCAACTCATTTTATAAAAAACACAATCCTGCGAGTGGTACAAAGTCTTCGAAGAAGGTCCAGAGATCGTTGAATACATGCTTCTTTTGGATGAACTTCGACCTCTTTAACTGATCAAAATATTTAAAAAACGATGCTTGAAAATCGTCAAGTATTCTAGTCCGTTCAAATGATTTTGGTGGATATTTTGGATATGAATCGCATTCTTTTTCGACACATCCCGATAAAGCTGAATTAAAAAAAATAGATTACGATTCGAGCCATTAACTCGATGAATCTATCCATCTATCAACCACCGTATTTACCAGATTTGACTCCGTGTAATTTTATCTTTTTCCCCAATATAAAATTGCCGCTAAATAGAAACCGACCCATATTTGACAAATGGGCAAATTATTAACAGGAAAAGATGTTTTTGAAAATTCAATCTCACATATTGAGCGATATTTTCGATAATAATCTCCCAATTGGAACCGGTAATCTGGGCGATTGAATAGTTCTTATCCGAATTGAATAATTTTTGGTCACCAGATATTTATTGATGCTTGATTTGTATACTTCTGAAAGAATCAGATGGAATTTACAATTTTGTTATATCGGAAGTAGTCGTGGCTGTAGTCGGTTTCTCCCATTTTCACACTGTAACATAGGATTGCCAGAGGAATGTCACACGCCAATTAGGTACGTTTGAAATCGGTCGGGCGGATCCCAAAATTAGTGATTTCACCTAAAAGTGAGGGGTGTCATGCCCGTCATCCAAATTTATTGCATCTGCATTAAAGCTCTTAATGGGTGAAGCTCTTATGCCGAATTATAGTTTCATATATTAATTTAATTATGGCAATTTAGATGTCTTTCTTTAATGGCGTTTTTGGAGCGTGGCAGTGGTCCGATTACATTAATCTACAAACTCGCCTTTCATTTACAATACCAATTCAATCTCAACTTTTACTCAAGTTATAGCTTGCACGGACTGTCATTCGGAATTCAACTCGTCTCATCATCCTGATCATTAAGATATAAATAACTCTAATGTGTCCCGATCTAGTTTAAATCTTCACGATTCCATTCTAATTCACATCAAAAAATATACATATATAACCGTGATAATAACTACAAAGGTAATTATATTATTTTGGTACTTACACCTTTTACGGTATGCTTGGCGAAGCTCTCTCGCCTCGTATCCACTTCATTTATCACTGATGTTTTCATAAATTCGTGCTAATATGAATTTTTATCATTTATACGTATAACATTTTGTTAACGTATATTTTTGGAATTATCGTCTGTTGCTCACTTATTTCGCGCTAAAGAGACATTATTAAAATCGTTTGATACACTAATATGACACTTGAGTCCAAAATAATCTACAGAGAATGCATCTACAAGAGCTGTTAGTAATAATAATTATTATATATTTTTGCTTTTTTTTTACAGCAACCAAATTCGCCCGGCACAAATCTGATAAGAATTGCTACAAACGTTGTGAAAATAGCTGGAATTGAAAGATAACCCCACCCACTTCCCATATAACGGTACTGTTAAAAACTATTAAAAGCACAATAAATCAAAAACTAATTATGCCACAGGTTTATGGGAGCCGGTACAAAAATTATACTTTTTGGTAAAATCCTATATATCGAGACCCGACTTCGATTAAATTTAGTACGTGGCATCTTTCTTATATCCCTATGTGACATTGTGAATATTAACGAAATCGACTACAACCACGCCTACTTCTCATATAGCACAATATGAATTCCATTTTGATTCTTTCTAAAAAAAAGGGGAAACATTTTAGACTTATAATTTCTTGTAATTTTGCCACCTTATGACCAAAAATTTCAAAATCTAACCAAAACTGTTTAAGTCCCTAGGTTCCGAATATGTGGATCCCAGTCCCAGTATAGTTAACTTTTGACCGAAAATATCGGTCAATTTATGGGTTATCCAACTGTATATCAAAAATGGGTTTAACGGGATTAGTACTTTCCTGAGCCTAGTATACAGATTTTCGAACTTACAAATGAGATAACTAAAGCATTGGTCGATGTATTTATACTGGAATGAAAATTATAGAACACAACCTCCATATAACTACTATTTTCCAACCGGCTGACTTTATTCCATATGTTTGGTGATTATATGTGAGGAAAATGAAACCTTAATGAAACCCAGAGAACATTCTTTTAATATCTGGCATGATAATAGTTAATAGATAAAATCGGATCTATACTACCCCAACCCCCATTTACTACATATAATGATTTTCGTTTTTTTAACAAACCTTATGTCAAATATGTCAGTGTTTGAGTTATAGTATATATTGGTTGTCAAATATCCCCCTTCCGCCTTTTTTTCTCTTTATTCAATGCTTTGTAAAAAGTGTTACAGTGTCAGATTTTTTTCAAATATGCGCCGTTAATACCCCCCTCGTAGAAGTCCTCCTCCATATTTGCGAAGAACTCGGACGACCACTTTTCAAAAAGCCTCTTTTGAGTTAAACTTTACACCAACAAGGGCGTTCGCCATGGACAAGAACAGGTGGTAATCACTTGGCGATATATATGGGCTATATGGTGGATGCGATAAAACCTCCCATCTGAGCTCACGTAGCTTCTGACGAGTCATCAACGAAGTCTGTGGTCTGGCGTTGTCCTGATGAAACAGTACACCCTTTCTGTTGGCAAATTCTGTATGCTTCTGGTCGATCGCCTGCTTCAAGCGATCCAGTTGTTCGCAGTAGATTCTCAGTGCTTTATTCAGCTGTTATTTTCTCAAGTGAGAATAAACCATAAGGCCTCAAAAGCTTGAGCCTCTTGTTTGGCTCAATCGAATCATTATTATTATTATTTATTAATTTCATATACTGCAACACCGCATCTAGCTTTTGAGGGCTTTTAGTTTATTCTCACTTTGATTCGATTAAATTACCTTCTGAAAAAGTACTCGATTGGGAAGATTGTTAATCTTATTCTCCACAGTTTACCATTTCTACGTAAGGCACACTAGATACACAAAAGTTGGGCTTTGAAAATTTTTTAATATGGTCGACGATTATAGCATCTATGGCGGAGGCCAATATCTATTAATCGCAATATACATATTATTATATGGTATATACAATCACAATCGTATTGATACCGAGTAAATATTCATGTAAATATACGCAATTACAATTTCGATTTTCGTTTTGCTAACATTTAATTACATTTTTCGGTTATCATTTGTGTCAAGTATATTGCCAATATTGTCGAGAAGATAAGCATTATCACAAATTTTGTATATGAGCACTTTTATTGGTGCATTTATAATAATTTGGCATATGAATTTTTGGTTATTTATAACAAATGTACATAATTAAATGGGAACGACAAGCCCGACTACGAATTTGTGCTACTTTATACTATATGTATGTCCACTTTACTATTATAGACGCCGCAAAATCCTTGTGTTCTCCCAATACTGACTATATCACTTTACTAGGGCGGTCGGATAAATATTTTGCGTACAAAGGGAAAACGAAAATTTTAGAAATGAATGACGCATTTCTCAACATAAGTGCGATTTGGTCAATATCGCTTTGTAATGTGGTAAATGTTTAATGGACTTCCTTTACATTTTAGCATATTACGTAATTTATTACCAAAATATTTTGTAGGATTGTCTTCTATATTTCCGAATTTCACAACTCTGGTATTGCAATCAGACAGTTCACAACTTTACCGTAAATGTTGACATTTTTGATGTTTAAGAACGTTTTGATATACAAAAATTTTTTATTTTGCTTACAGTAACTTAAAATATTCATCTCGGCCAAAAAATCATCGGGGTCGTAGATCACTCCAATGCGAATTTCGTGGAAGTCGCGAAAAATCAATGGCTGCTGTGCGTAAACTGATATTGCAAGATCCTTATGTGACCTATTGTGATATAGTCATTAGCGGCCTTGGCACATGAGGATGAGCGTTGTCATGTTGGAAAAATATTGAATCCTGTATAGTAGCTAATTTCGAATATTTGAAGGAGTTGTTATTGGTAGTGTTCTTCGTTAATGGTTTCATCCGGTTGTAGAAGCTTAGAAAACAGCACGCCCATATATTCCGCCAAATACAGAGCCATTAACTAGAAACGTCCACCAGAATACGAGATCAATCGGCTGATGTTTTTTCATATTGAAGTAATGAAGAAGAACTCAACGTTAAACGGATTTGAATCTCCCCAATAGCGTCAATTTTGTTTGTTGACGAAGACATTAAGCCAGAAATGAGCCTCGTTTGAGAAGAGGATTTTTCGATGAACATTTGTTCAACGTTTTTTCGAGAACGTGAATTTGCGTAATAATCTTGTACATTTCCCAAGCTTTGTAAATCGTAATATAATAAAATGGCAAACCTTACTGAATGCAGTGTTAATATTTTACATAAATTCGTACATAAACATGATCGCCTCGAGCTGTCAAAATCAAGTCACATATATTAGTAAACGCTGTATTTGAGTGATAAAAAAATATTTTTGTTTATGCACATACAAGTACGAGTATAATGAAACCTCAGATATATACCTCCAGGCCAAACTTATAATATAGTGAAACTTCGATAAGTCGTAACCTCAATAAGCGAAAAACCTTGATATTTCATAGTATTTCTTCGGTCCCTAGAAAAATTCGCGAAAAATGCATGTATTTTGGTCCTTTTGATAACTCGTATTTTTCTTGAGACAAAAATTGAAAAATGTGTATCAAAAGCCTCTACAACTCGTATTTTTTATAATATAATGCAGACTGAATTTCTCCCACCTAACACCACTTCAGTTTTGCAACCACTCGACAATGGCATAATCAAAAGTTTCAAAACATTGTACCGTAAAGAAGTTGTTGTTAAACTGCTTGAAAGCATCGAGGAAAAAAAGGATTATTCCATTTCGATTTATGATGCAATGAGTATTGCTCATAAAGCCTGGAGAAATATCAGTAAATCGACTATTAAAAACTGTTTTCGAGCTTGCGGCTCGTGTTCCACAAAAAGCAGAAACACGTGAAAACTTTGATGACTACACTCATGTTGATGATGAGTTGGTGATTACTGGAAGCCTCAATGATGATGAAATTCTGGGTTTCGAAAACATCGACGATGAAAACGATGAAACATTTGAAATTCCCTCAGTTTCCACAAAGGTTGCGAAAGCTTCAATTGAAAATTTGCGTCTTTTTTTTTTTCATGGCATCAAATGTTGAAGACACCATTTTTAATGACATTGTAAACATTGATAATGCCATAGATAAAATACGCCAAAATAATGTCCGTTTTCTGTACAATTTTTCAAAATACATACATACATATATTGATTGAATAACATATGTACTCTATATTTTAAAATTTACATATGTACAATCTTTTCTGGTTTTTTATGTAAAATTGAAAAAATAAATTTAAAAAAAACTCTATAATTCGTATATTCTGTATGTTGCCTCTATAAGTTGTATAACTTTATAACTTGAAAAACTCCATAACTCGTATTTAATCGAAGTTTCACTGTATAGCAAATTGCCCTTACACCTCATTTAAAATAAACTTTAATAGTTTTACATACATTTAAAAAAGACAGTTTATTAAATCAGACAATTTTTTAAGCATAAAAAATCTTCTCCTGTAAAATGGGATTTTTGTCGATTAGGTCATATTCACGAAAAGAGCTCGATATAAGTATTTACTGAAGGCAACATTCATCTGAAGCCACACTTCCCAAATCATTGTGGCTACGAGGTACGTAGTCCATATCATAATATTTCTCGAAAACTTTTACATCTGACACTTTATTGGATAATGCTTTATAGATCTCTATGCCAGCTTTAGCATCATCAGCAGCATATTGAACTTGTTTAGGAGTCAACGTGTCCGCCTCCCAATCGGATCGGATTAGCTGTAAATCTTTTGTCAAGGTACCACCCACAACAGCCTTATACATTTCGGCCAAGTTTTGCGCTTTTGCTCCGGTCAGTTTGGCCACAAAACGCAAATCCAATGCAGATTTTGTCGGTAGGTCACATTCTTCCAAATATTCGCAATCTTTTTTGATGCCAACACCAACTTTAACCACCTTGCGATCAATTAGTAGATTGCACAGGGACATGGGTATAGTATCCATTTTACATAATCTTATAACAGCACAATATCCCTTGTGACTACATAACTGCAATACGGACACATTCGGAGCGTTCACCCATTCACAGTCTAAGCCGAGTACCGGCACTTCATTGCAATGCCTGAAAATAGAAATGAACAAAGATATAATTATTTACAGTAGGTTCCAAAAGAAAGCAATCATCCTATGTCATTGAAAAGATAAAGGTATCTTAAAATCGGTCCACAAAATTATAATAATATGGCCCATCATCACCATTATTAAAATTTTATTGATTTATTATTTGAAATGATTTATTATTAGCTTTTTTTATCCACGTATTTTCATCTTCGCAAGTGCAGAAACGTTCTCGATCGGGTTTACTCTGATGGTCAATCTAAATTAGTAGTCCCGTTTTCTTCTTTCCAGCAGCATATACAACAACTTCCCTGCTATACAACTTGTTCCCTGCTTCCTGCCCCAAATCACATATCTGTTGATTGTAGAAATCTACGATGGCTAGTTTACCAAATCCTTATTTTACGATGCATCCCCAAACATGAAATTCCCCTGTGTGCTTGAATGACCGCTGGAGTAGCTTGCCTCTTTTAGTGGATACAACTATTTTAGGATTTGGCATGTTCCGATCCTTGGCAAAACTTTCGCTCTGCTTCGTTCTTCATTAAGCACTTTAAGTACTCTCAAGACTTTTGAATCGCCAGTTATTATCAGAAAAAATTGCGATTTGCAATGAATTTTACACTTATATTTTTATCTTTTATAACTAACACTTCCACTCTACCAAGCTCTATAAGTCAGTCATAATACCCGTCCTGCTATATGGTGCAGAGGCTTGGACGATGACAACAACTGATGAGTCGACGTTGCGAGTTTTCGAGAGAAAAGTTCTGCGAAAGATTTATGGTCCTTTGCGCGTTGGCCACGGCGAATATCGCATTCGATGGAACGATGAGCTGTACGAGATATACGACGACATTGACATAGTTCATCGGATTAAAAGACAGCGGCTACGCTGGCTAGGTCATGTTGTCCGGATGGAGGAAAACGCTCCAGCTCTGAAAGTATTCGACGCAGTACCCGCCGGGGGAAGCAGAGGAAGAGGAAGACCTCCACTCCGTTGGAAGGACCAAGTGGAGAAGGACCTGGCTTCACTTGGAATATCTAATTGGCGCCACGTAGCGAAAAGAAGAAACGACTGGCGCGCTGTTGTTAACTCGGCTATAATCGCGTAAGCGGTGACTACGCCAATCAAGAAGAAGAAGAACTAACACTTCACTAATTCGTTTCTACTCTTTTATTTTATATCACATAGTGCAAAAAAAAAAACTTTTATTCAATATTAAACTTTTGTTCACACAATAACAAAAGGATTGTCTTCTAGTTCTTTTGCGTGCACAAGAAGTACGACTCAAAAGAACTGAAGACAAAAGATCAAAATATCCCAAGTGAAATAATATAAATATGTACCTAAAACTCTAAAAATGAGGCTGCACTAAATTATTACGAGTAGGTGTTGAAATATTGCATACACATTTGTGACGAAAAAAATATGTATACTCACTTCCTTAAAATATTAACGGCTTCAACACATTGTTGGAAGTTCTCAATCAATTGGACTTTTTTCTCGGAAGACGTGTTCAGAAAGTGATATAGTAGTCCAGCACCTACAGCTATAGCAACGGACTGCAATGGACTTGGTTCAGACATAATTAGCTAATGACTTTATTTCTTTACTTCAAAGGAAAATAAAATTTTTGTACACTTTATTTCACAGCTTGCGCGGTGCTATTGCAGAGATAATATGACAGAGATAACATAACAGAGATAACTTGATCAGAATCTCTTTTCTTGCTCTCTCGCTTGTCAGCTGGCAGGGCACCCTGATCTGTTTTCTGAGCTGGCAAAAAAACACAATCAAGGTGCCGTCAACCAGCAGTTAGTGAAAAAGCCGGGATGCCAGAAGACCAGCGCTATAATTACTTGACGAAGTTAGTGTGAAATGAAATTTCATTGAACCGTGCGAACACATTTTGGCAAAATAAATGTTTATGTAAATTAGTTAATGATTTTGCATTTTATTTGTATGCATTTAAAAAGTGTTTAATTTAGTGTTTGGTATAATTTATTAAATACTCAAGCAAATATTTTTCAGCAGTGGCATCATTGGCAAACAGCTCTCTCTCTCGAACCAAAGAGTCTCGTATCAAGTTATCTATGGTAGATACCATGAAAAGAGCGATCAAATGTGACACAAGACGTCACGTCTTATTATGTGATTCCCCTTTTTATATATACCGTATCTCCATGTACATATAAATGTATCCTTGTAATCAAGATGAACTTTTATTAGAATAGACAATAAATTACCAGATCGAACCGACAACGAAATTCGTAGTTGCCAGAATATTCGAGTTGGAAAATGGATGTGACAATTTTATGAAAAATACTAAGAAAAGATACAGATAAAATTGTTTCTTGTCTAAAGAATACTGCAAAAAAAGCACAGTGATAAGAGTAAAATAATTTTCAAAAGTATTGAAGTATACCCTGATGATATCTTTTTCTACATTAATATATCAAACCTAAATTAATATTTAACTCACACTTCGCTTTCAAATTGTTTATGATACTATTAGGCTACCTCCCAGCCTGTTTTCCGTGCTCTTCTAGTAGATAATTTACCAACATTATGGAAAGCAGAGATAAAAAGATCCCCAACTCTCCTGTCACTGGAAAGGTGAGAACCGCTCACCTACCGAACTTTGACAGTTGACTGGATTGGATAGATTTGACGTTTTGCAATTGAATCACTGCAAGCTCTCGAGATAACTTTCCGCTACGACCATTCTATCGCAAAGTGGATTATACATATTATATTTGATGTTCGATTCTTCATAGGCATGTATAACAGTTGCCTCTGAATTCTACTCCTAATGCACACGTCAATGGGCTAATCTTCAAACCTTAGTTACATACACACCCTACTCTAACACAGTTCACGGAGAAGCAGGAAAGCCAACTGCATGCCGGTTTGATCGTCCGCTGCAGTTGCCTTTCTGAACACTATCCGCACAAACTAAAACTAATGTACTTATGATCAGAGAGGGAATGATCGTCTACAACTCTTCATTCCGAGATCAAAAGTATAATTTATCTAGAGACTTCAGGTACATCAAGGACCTCCGTCACATAAATGTAGAATTTCCTCGTATTGCAAATAGGTTTTCACAATATATAAAATCGAGATGTAACACATTTCGCATTTATGTCCGAGTTTCAAAAATAGTGAGCCCCGAGTTATTATCTGAGCCGAATATTTCACCAGCACTTCTTCGTTTAGCCTCCGCTAGAGTTACTGAGGTGGCTCCACCTCATCGTCATGCCTCATATAAACCGAGACCACCCAAAGCTCTCCAGCACTGTCTTCTAGCATTGCGGTGACGAAAACCGGAAATTCTTCTTCTTCTTTACTGACGTAGACACCACTTACGCCTTTTCTAGCCGTTTCTCCTTTTTGCTATGTGCCGCCAATTGAAGATTCCAAGCGAAGCCAGGTCCTTCTCCATCTGTCTTTCTAACGGGGTGCAGGTCCTCCTCTTCCTCTACTTCCTACTTTTTATCATCCTTTGCAAGTTTTTATTGATGTTTTATTCCAAAATGAAAATACTACAATGTTAATAGCAAATAATTCTCCAAAGTTTTTATAACAGATTGCAGAAGCACATTGAAATATTTTCAGCTGAATGGGAGAATACGTAAGTAAGATAAAGAAAAACTGTCGACATTCTAAGCATATTGTAATGTTAACTTCCTAGAGTAGGAAAGACGAAGACCCAATCTTTCAAGAAGAAGAAAACAAAAAGCGCAGTTTATTTTAGATTTTATAGAGGTAAGTTCGTTACATGATAATTTGATATTTTATGTTTAAATTGTATTTTATATATGTATATAACTAATTTCTTATATAGAAAATGAAAAAGCTTAACAAGGAGAAGAAGGGGCTGGGATTTAGAATAGCATCCCCGGATTTGGAGGATAAAATGGGTATCACTGGAAAGGTGACGTTCTCCAGATCACGAAAATATATATATAGTTGCCGCTGACTTATAGTTCTAAAGATATTTGCGTTTAAAGTTAAAAAATTTMCAACTTTTAAATTGATAATTTGTTTATTGTGAATAACTTTTTCGCTTATATTATGCACTTTTCACTTACTAACACTTCCTTATAACGTTTTTGTATATAAATTTTTTTAATATTTATTGCAAATAAAGCTTTATTTCAATTATTTTGTTTTAGTTAAATTTACTGCATTTGCACTGCAAGAATAGAGTTGCATACTAGCAAATAAATGGTATTGCCATATCTGCCTAGTTGTCAACAAAAGAACAATAGCAAAAACTTTATACCTCAAATACATAAAAGGAAAACGCCAAAAACCTTTAGCAATTCTTTATAAAAAAAAAGTTGCAGAAAGGAGTTCAACGCGAAAGAACTTTGAACACCCCGGTGTTGGATCGACCAGGGCTATTTTTTTTTTTTTTGAAGCGCGGCCGAAAGCCGCCAGGGCAGAAGAGAGTTCTACGCGAAAGAACTTTGAACACCCCGGTTTTGGATCGACCAGGGTTATTTTTTTTGAAGCGCATCCGAAGGCCGCCAGTGTAGAAGGGAGTTCTACGCGAAAGAACTCTGAACACCCCGGTTTTGGATTGGTTTGGATATTTGGGGTATAATGCTTTTGCTTCTTTTCTTTTGTTGACAACTAGGCTTAAAAAAATGTCTTATAATCTCGTTTGCGCTCCTCTATTAGAACCATCAAAAATTATGGTACCGTCACCATCGTCTGGCGGCCATGCAGATATAATGTATTAATATATAAATATATTAGTATTTGATTTAAAAAAATACATTTATGTTTTTCAGATATAATCCCGACCCGTCTCACTACCATTGAAAAGTTCCTAACAGACAAAGTAAATAATACAGTATTACATTACCAAATTAAAACAGATGCTAGTTTTTATATTTTAATTTTCTAGATGCCAGAAAAGGCCGAGGTGCAGGCACAGAAAGGTGACTTGGAGGACGAGCATTACGTGGAGCTCGCTTCAAAACTGCCCATATTATCGGAAGAGCACGTGCGCCTCGTGGAAGACAAACTTTCACTAAAGGAAAGCACGGATGCTATGGTAAATATTTCGGCTTTAAATATTATGCGATTGTAATATAATTTACTGTAATTTTTTTTCTTTATAACAGATGCGGCTAATATTGAAGTCAAAGGGCGCAAAAGGCAGTGTGGACTGCGTGATATGTTTCGGACGACCACTACAGGGGCTAGAGGGGCGCAAGAAGAAGAAATCCCTACTAAAGCTGAAGTGCGTAGAGTTAGCTTTTGGTAGGTTTTTCACTGATATACTACTGTGCCCAAAAAATAAGGTAACATTTGAATTTAAACTGCGTGCGTCGAAGGATTTGGAGAATTATTTTTTTTGTAGGTTGTAGGTTGGTAGTACTGTCAGTCACATTTATGTAAAATTTCATGCCAAAATATTCATTAGTGTTGTTAGTGAGATACGTGTCGTTTTGTGAGCTGCTAAAAGTGAGTTTTGCGTTTTTTGCGATGTCGAAATTTCTTGAGCAAAAATTTTGCATTAAACATTCGTTCCGCAACAACCGTATTCACCTGATCTGGCGCCGTGCGACTTCTGGCTGTTCACCAAGCTCAAGGGACACCGTATTTATACGATAGAGGAGATTCATGCCGCAGCGAAGACGGAACTGAAGGCCATCCCCGAAAGTGACTACAACCAGTGTTTCGAAGATTGGAAAATCTGTTGGCATAATGTACTACATCTAGTGGGGATTACTTTGAAGGGGGTGAAATTGATTTGTAAGAATAAATAAAGAATTTTCAAAATAAATACAATGTCACCTTATTTTTTGACTTAGCTTATAACGTTTCATTGTAGATATATTTCCGGACAAGGATAAAAACACTATTTGTGGGGAGCTCCGGAGATTTGTGGCCTTAAGCCACAATCGTTTTAAGCAAATGGAAAGAATATACTTAAGCCAAAATTAATATAATTTTTATTATTATTACTTATATATATTAGTTTTAAGTTGCAAATATTAGTTCTAAGTCGTACATATTAGTTTTAAGTTATACATATTAGTTTAAAGTTGAAGTTTCTAATTTGTATTGTTTATTTTTCTGCCGAATGTAATAATAATATGCAAATTTTTAGTTTAAGTAAATACTTGATTATTTTGATTTTATTATTAAATAAAGCGAAATAATAAAAAAACTGAATTTTATTTAAAAGAATTGAATTTGCTAGAATTAACAAATGGGTAACAGATATGCTTGTTCCTGCTAACATGTTTATATGGTAACAAACGAATAACCCTAATAATAACACTAGCAAATATTCAGGTAACAAATACTTTTTGTTATCCATAACACACAGGTAAGCTATGCGCTATCAAAAGAATTTGTTACCCGTAACATACTGTTAAGAGATTTACTAACAAATGTATGTATTCTGTTAGAACAAGGCAGCTTGCGATATTTTCCATTGGTTAGAGCGAGGTAACCATTGAACACCAAATAGCTATGTGTTACTTTTTTTCCACTCTCTGAACAAAAGTAGCAAATATTTAAGGAACGCAAAAGTGAATAATAACAAGTCGCTTACACTTTTGCTAACAGCTATCCGTCTTGCAGGGGTATTTCTGATTCGTATCGATTCTCGTTCAAACCCGAATATTGAGAGTATCGATATTTCGAAAACATTCAATAATGCGCATAATCTTACCGTAATTGCTTTATTGTTGTTTTCTTCTTTTTTATCGCAAAAAAGATCTTCCTGCTCAAAATAATATATAAAAATGTGTTTATTTTTTTATTGTAAGGTATTTTTCATCACCATTGAACCATTTTTTGAGAAAAGCCGCTATTTTAAAGAATTACCCAAAAATGCAAAAAATATAAAAATATGGTAAATGTTCAGGAGAGCGGCTTTTCCGAAAACGTCCACCAATATATGGCGCGTTAACTATTTTTATGCATATACATATATTGCCTCAAATTTGAGACCTGGTTGTTAGCAAGTCACAAAACCAAAAAGAACTYTTGTCTGCCATTTTGAATATACTGAATAGAGATCACCACAGATATTAATCGATTGTCGTTTTTTTATATTTTGTAAGCAAGTCAAACACGAAAAGGTTAAAAATAAATAAATCTTACATAAATTTCGTTAATATCATGAAGCAGAGTCAACATATATTTTTATTTTTATTGATAATTATGTTTTTTGACTTTGTTATTGAAAATTTAATAATTGTTATCAACATCTCTCTGAATAATGAAATGTAATAGAGTTTGTGACTATCACTTACAGAATAGCAAAGTCTCAAGTCTCAAAAATTGTCTCTGTCATATTTAGAGACTTGATACTGTATCACAGTACAGAATCGCACGGTAAGTGTAAAAGTGAATTTTTTATTTCGGGAAATACGAAGTTTTGTATTAAAACAAAGAAAATATTGTTTTTAAAGGCACGCGCCATACACATTCGTAAATTAGAAAATTGGTGCACGTTTTCGGAAAAGCCGCTCTCTTGAACATTTACCAAAAATATATATTGATATTTGTTATATAAATGGATTAGTATAAATGAGTTATTTCCCAAATTAAGATAATATACAAAGCTCATCTATAGCCGCTGAGCGACATTAAGCATGCCGTCAAATTTGAGCTCCACGGCGGTACATTTTTTGGAACAATAAACAAAAACAGCTGATCACGAAGTTGTTTAGACAATCAAAATTTTTAAAAGTAATTTTTAATTGTTAACAAACAAAATATGTCCCTAGGCTACACATTTTTAGGCTGTCCACTTTTAGTAAACATCGACAATAAAGAAATACTTTATGAAGTGAGTGCTTAAAGCATAAATAATTATTTTATACATTGAAGAATTTACTTTTCATAGATTCTTAACTACTCGGTTGATGTGCTGCTTGGCAATAGCGATGAACATCAAATGGAAAAACATTGCCACAAATATGGATTTCAGAATGTTTACGATTTTATGTTGATGACACGAAAAATTGCACGCGCTTATAAATCTCATTACCAGAATGAGAATTCCAGCGAAGCAGAATTGCTTTATGAATTTAGCAATTTAAGTCCAGAATTTCAACGTTTGGTACCAACTGTGTATGAAGCGCGGAAATCGGAAATTGAAAAATATATGCTGCAACTACATAATGCTCAAGAAAATCTTCTAGTACTGTCTTTCGACTACGATGCTCGTGTAGTGATTGGCGATAGCAGTTTCGCTCAAAACTTTCGCGAACTAATAAGAATATATTTTAATTGTTGCGATGGAAATGGAAAATTAAGTATGCTACATTTCGAAATGGATTTAAATAAACTGAACGAATTTATTACTGCTTTAGAAGTAGCAGTAGATAAAGGCGATGAAAATCATGCTTAAGCCCAACGAAATGTATTAGTAAACGTGTGGAAATTCTTTTCTATTCTGCTTATAACCAGTGTACGATTTTAAACAACCTTTATATGTTTTGTGTCATAACATTTACCTTGAGTTTATTTTATTCACTTCGAACTCAGTAAAATTCGATTAAAATGTACATTGCAACATATCTGTGTGATATAAATACAATCGATTTATACGACTATATGTATGTGGTAATGGATTTTCATTACTTATATTATACTATAGGATACTTATATTATTTATAATTTATAAGCCATTGTAGGACAACAAATTTTATTCATAACAATATTCTTATCAGTATACAAAAATTAGCTACAATAAAGAAAAAAAAAAAATTATAACTCCTTAAATACCACCTTAGAAGGAGCCATGAAAAACTTATAATGTAGTGAACGTAACTTTAACCTCGATTACAAATGGTTAACCTTTTTAGAATATTATATTTTATTAATATATTTAGCAAAATGAAAAGCCGATCATCCAATTCCAAAGAGGTGCTGTTGCATGCCGTAGCGCATGATTTTGGCTAGGCTGCATATATATGCTTACTCAACTAACCCCGGCAGAGAGATACTGATTTTTATAGTAGTATGCACAAATGCCAACCAAAATGGAGAAAGCTGTTGTCACGATCATTGATTTCGGTGTGAGCATTTGTGGAAGCCAACGTGCTAAGTTATTGTTACCAGCACGGGCATTACGAGCAAGTTGTTTCCTTCGCTCTTGAATTCGCTTCTCTTCCAATTGTCTTTGAAGTTTTCTATAAAACATATATTTTTTAATTTTAATGTTAATTTCAAAATATATTGAAAAAACTTACTCTTTTCGCACCAGATCCTCGACATGTTTTTCAATTACTGTGAGTGAATATTTATCATATAATAAACTCGCAGTATTTAAAAGATCTTCAAAGGGCAGATCATCGGGAAGCTAAAAACATATGAATTTAAAAGGTAAGCATAAAATATTGTATATATTTTGAATTATTGTATACATTTACCTTAGATAAAAGACAGTGTACTGAGGCCATGTCACAGTCAACATGTAGTATATCTTCAGCTCGATACAATATAATAGCAGCAGTCACAAATATTGGCATATAAATTGGCGATGCCAAAAAATAGTCATAAAGACGCACTACGTCTTTATATGAATTTAAACTGTGTCCAAACCATGTCAAATACCAAGGCAATGCAAAAAGTGTTCCAACTGCAGATTGTTGTAGAAATTGAAACAAATGCGAATTTTCTAAATCTACCAGCGGCCATATAAACATCAAACGTTTTTGGGTGGCATCCATTGTTTCTTGCATACATTCCGAAAAATGGTTGGTCGATAGTTCCTCCATAACCGCAAATGCTACCTCTTCACCAACGACTAACAAAAATGTAACAGCCACATCGTGATATCCTTGATAATATCGTAAATTCGGGTATTTCTTTATCACACGCAATATTAAAACGGTCAATTGGTCCTGTAATGCAATACGTTGCTCATATGGAATGCCGGGCGGAAAACGCTTAAGCGATCTATTGACATCAAGCACCACTTGTTGGTATTCTGGATGTGTTTGTAAATCATGTAGACTGGGCGCTGGTTCTAAAGAGGATGTATCAACACCGGCCAATTGTGGCCAAAGCAATCGTCGCAACTCATCATTGACTAATCCATGGTCGGAACGTGCAATCTCCTGCAGCTTTGGTAGTGGAATATTGCCATTGTGCTCTTTCAATAAACGTTCGATTTTCAAACGTTTTTGTTGTTCTTCACCACTTTCTGGACCTAAAGAATAAGAATAATTATATATATCTCAACTAAATATATTAATATAGCTACATTTCTCAAAACATAATTCCTGTGGTTGATCGATTTTTATTTCAATGTTTTGATGGTTCGCTTCATTCACTTGGCTCGTCATACTGCCAACTTATATTTAGATGTGTAAACTGAGTAATGAAATTTTAAAATCCTTTATAGTCGTTCATGTGCTATAATTCTTATTATAATTTTTATTCCAGTGCAATCATTACAAATGCATTATATAGTATTTTTATTTGCAAATTAAGCGAAGAAAGGGCACCTGTGCGGTGTCAACTAACGGCAATGTTGCCAGACTTAGCGCTTAATAAATCTTTCGTGACGTGTACAATTATGAAATATGAAATAAATGGTGTTCATATAAATTATTAAATCTAATAAAAACACATGTTCGAAATTATCGATTTTCTTCAATTTCTTTTTAGTACTTTAGACAGAGACAATTTTTGAGACTTGAGAGGATTTTGCTATTCTGTAAGTGATAGTCACAAACTCTATTACGTTAACTGATTACAGAATCCCGCTATAAATTAGCACACACTGATTTATTGATCTGGCAGTACCATTTTTACAGTTGGTACATTAATAGCTGGTTCACAGACAACTTTTTGTATGAGTACCTTCCCATCGAAACAAAACGCAACAAACCGAAGAATAAATTTCGGGCAACTCACATCTTTTTGCGCTTTGCCAAACACCTATCGAGATTTCTATTATCAAGTAGAACAGAAAGTCAAGCCCACATTCTGGCATGCCTTTTGCTTTCTTTATCTTTTCTTGATGAAATATGAATTGTCAAGCAAACCAAGGAAAGTTGTTTGTGGATCGCCTACAAGAATCTCGCTTCTTAAATCCCTTGCGTCAACGCAACCAACTGATATGACATGTTCAACGATTCATAAATAAATACCCAGTCTGTTTTAGAAACTATTCATTTATTAATAGAGCGTATTTGACATTTGTGAAGTAGTGGAACGTAAACATTGTTTCGTTTCCTTTGAATTGAGATTAGGTGACTAAACCCATATATAATTTGCAAATACTTTTCTTATACCAGACTGACGGGTAGGTATTAGCCTAAGTAACTGTGGCCACTAAAAAAAAAAGCAGCAGCTACAAATTACAGTAAAAAGTTCCTCTTGTTCCTAGATTTTGTATTGCGCATACCTAAATAAACCGCCGCTGTCTTTTAATTCGCTGAACTATGTCAATGTCGTCATATACCTCATACAGCTCATCGATCCATCGAATGCGATATGCGCCGTGGCCAACGCGCAAAGGACCATAAATCTTTCG